GGTGCTGCTGCAGTCAGCTTCCTGCTGCCTGCTCTCATTTTCACCTTGCCTGCCTTGGACTCACCGTCCAGCTGAAGGAACAGCACAGTGCAGGGTTCTCAGGGCTGCCATTTCAGCATCTGGGTTTGGCACAGGAAGGATTTCACCAAAGCAAACTTTGAGTCTGGATAATTCTGCAGTCACGTAAGCCAGGGCTTATAATCATTTCTAGCTTTGGAAATGAGCACGGGTAGAACAGTTGGCGAGTGCTGGGGCTTAATTGGGTAATTCACATTTGGTCTCTTATCCCATCCTGATTCCCTGCCTTGCAGGGGTAAAGTAAAGCAGTGCTTGGATGGTTTGCTGCCACTTGTGCAGCCGCAGGATGGGGCATGGTTGTGAGCACCCAGTGCTGCTCCAGGAGGGTGGCTGTCTCACCCCATCCCATATGGGTTCAAACTTAAACAGGGGAAGTTTAGATTGGATATAAGGAAGAAATTCTTTACTGTGAAGGTGGTGAAGCACTGGAATGGGTTGCCCAGGGAAGTTGTGAATGCTCCATCCCTGGCAGTGTTCAAGGCCAGGTTGGACAGAGCCTTGGGTGACATGGTCTAGTGGGATGTGTCCCTGCCCATAGCAGGGGATTGGAACTGGATGATCTTAAGGTACCTTCCAACCCTAACTAGTCTATGATTCTGTCCCATTCCTGCTCTCCTGGTTGGCTCCAGCTCTGCTCAGGCACCTTTCCCTGCACCACGTGCAAACCGAGGAGCAAACCTCATCCTCGAGCACTCTCTTTTTTTAATGTTATCCCTGTGCCTTCCATTTAAATGTGGATGTTGTAATTACAGAGCGCTGAATCCCAGTTTTTAGAGATCTGTGACCACAATAAAGTGAATCCAGAAACCAGACGAGTGGTTTCATTTACTCCCATTCTAGCTTATTTCCTCCCCCCGCGACCGCTGTGCAATGCTAAAGGCTTGGCAGCAACTGAAACCAGCTGTCAGAAATGTTTCTTCCCCCCACACTTTTAAGTTAATGATGTTCTGAAATTAATGGTGCACTCGACTAATTCTGTCATCTCATTCTGACGGACTCCCAGTCTCTTGGAAGTGATGTTTGCCAACTGGCTTCTCTCTTTGAGGCGCTGTGCTTAGGAAGTGGATCCCAGGTGCCAGGTACTGTACGTATATATACACACACAAGGAAAACATGGGGTTTTTCTTGTCCTAAGTGTTCACAGCTTTAATTTGGTTGGTATATTGTGGTTCACCAAACAAGCTTTCAGGCACGTAAACCAGTAACTTTTAGGAGCATCACATGCAGTGCAGCAGTGGATGAGGTTTTGCATGTCTTGGAGCTGGAGAAATCGTGTCTGGTTGTCACATTGGGCTGGAAGTGGGTCTGGCTCCACGCTGGGCAGAGAAGAGGGAAGAAAGTGGCCTGTTGTGGTGAAAAGCTGAAGGAGCTGAGTTTGGTTAGTTGAGAGAAAGGAAAACTCAAGGCCAGGTTGGACGGGGCTTGGAGCAAGCTGCTCTAGTGGAAGGCATCCCTGCCTGTGGCAGGGAGTTGGAACTGGATGAGCTTCAAGGTCCCTTCCAGTCCAAACTATTCCATGAAAACTGGGAAAGGAGACAAAGATCTTGAAGTGTGTGAAAGCAGCAGAGAGGATGGGAATAAACTGTTCTCCATGTTCACTGTCTGCACGTGGATGGGACAAGCTGTGTTGGCTTATGTGGTGGAAAGGAAGATACAGGTTAGACGTGAGGAAAAGCCTTCTAAATGTGCATATGGAGGAACCAACATTGGGCTGAATGCCTGGAGGGGGAGGTGGAGTTTCCATCGCTGTTTTGACAGGCATCTGTCAGAGGTGATCCTCACAGAGTCAGTCCTGTCTTGGGGCACATGGATTTTCCATGTTTTCTATAATTCCATGGATTAGCCCATTTTTCTTCTCCCTTAATCCAGTGCCTGGATTTATGGCAGGCAGCTCATCCCGATTTCCCTGTTACTGAAATGTTGGTGCTATCCAAATACCTTTTCCCCCATCCCACGTTATGCAGCTTAGAGAATAAGATTCTGTTACTGAAATGTTGGTGCTACCCAAATACCTTTTCCCCCATCCCACGTTATGCAGCCTAGAGAATAAGATTCATAATGGAGTTAAAAGTTGACATCTGGGCTCACTTTCCATAGAGGATGTTCTCCATGGAGAACAGTGAGAGAAGCTGTTAACACCAGCTGCAGATTAGGGATGCAGCAGGGAATTATCCTGCCTGTGGAAATCAATTTGGTTGGAAGGAGGGTCCATTCCAACCCAAGCTGTTCTGTTATTCTATGATCTTGCAGCATTGGGCACTGCTGGGATGTGAACCATGGGTAAAACTGGTTTTTGGGTTATAAATACAGATGTATTTTCTTAGTAAGCATCAAGAGATGTAAAGGTAAGAGTGCCTCTCTATGTTCTAATACTATTTCTGATAGATTTTATATAGGGTTTTGTCCTGTTTTACAGCCTTACAAGAGGAATCCCTGTCCCAGACAACACTTGTGTTGAATTATGTGTGCAGCTATGGGGAAGGAATGTAAATTCATTGGGCAAGTCTGGCTGATCTGCCCTAAGCAAATAGAAACCATCATCCTGCATGCTTTGCAGGCAGAAAAACCATGAAGTTACAGAGAAAAGGGGGTGGTTTTGGTTGGGTTGGGAGCTCCCTGTTTGCACAGTGGTGGCCTGGGAAGCTCTTGCAGAGCCATGTCTTCAGACCTGCGTTGTCTTCTCCCTGCTGCCTCCACCACGGGCACTGGTGAAGCAGTGTGTTTTCATCGGGAGTGATGGAGTTTAATGTAGTTTGAGCTATGTTTTCCTATCAGTTTTTGCTTTCCAGGAATAGACTTGAGCTAGAATTAATCAGCATGACAATGTGGTGAAAACAATTTAACCCAAGTACCTAATGGTGTTTATGATTGTCAGCTGATGCGTGGTCTTTTGAAGTGTGACATGAAGTTTGCCTCCAGTGCCAATCCACGGCTAATGACATTGTTCCTCTGACCAGGAAACAGAAGTGACATCACCTTTTAATTCGATTTAGACAATCCAAATGGAATATACTTTGAAATTGCAACATTTCTGAGGTTGGCAATGTGCAGATCTGTTGAAATTTGCCAAAACCCTCCAAAACCTTCAAAATCAAATCCATGTTTTTACTTGTTATTGTCTGTCAGTAACATTCCAAATGCCAAAACGGGGAGTAGGAAACCCATCAGTTTTTATTAATAAACACTTCTGAGTACTCTGTATAAGCAAGGAAGAGGATGTTGAAAAGGAGTAACGGTAATTGGGTTCCAAACTACAACCTGAAGTCTGTGGGAATTGGGTACCTGCCTCTTTGTACCTATTAAATCTCCCCCCCAAAAAAGTCCCTACAAGAAGCCCTGCTGCTTTTATGTATTTGGAGCAGGCCATTTGGTTTGGTTTCCTTGGCATTTGTATCGCAGGCTTCTTCAGAGGAATAAATTCACAAGTGCTTGCCTGTCATCACACGACAAGTTATGGAGCCGGGATTGATGTAATCAGCAACAGACACACGTCAGAAAGCTCAGTGTGGTTCAGTAGAATACAATATTTGATTAATTCCTCATTTTGTGTTTGTCTCTGTGTGTGTGTGTGTGTTTTAAATGAGCCTCGGGGGGTTCTTAACTTCTGCCAAGAAAGAAGAATAATTCGTACAAGTTTATGTTTAACTGCACCACAAGTGTGGTGGAGCACAGCAAAGTTAGGTTGCCCTTAATGACAGATATCTTTATAAAGAGCTGCTTTTATTAAGCAAGTTAAAACTTATTGTGTATTTTCAAGTTACTGCTCTCTCTCCATCAGTAGCCCCACATGAAATTGTTGTTAAAGATGTAGTAAAGCATTTAGATTGATGGATTTTAGAGCTATTCAAATTCCGTGCACACCTATTTGGGGTATTTTGGGTATTTTCTATAAGAGCAGATCTTTAAAAGCCTGGGGTGTTTTTTGGTTTGGGGTTCTGGTTGTTTCGGGGTGGTTTTGGTTCATGTAATACAGTATGCTGCAGATACAAATAATAAAGGTGTGATATGGGATTGAAGCCATAAGGGGAGTAAATACAAGCTGTCTGTTGAAGAACAGCATCTTAAAACTTGTTAACCTTTGAGGTTTACATGTTACTGGAACTGGTAGTCCCGTGGTTTATAGCTATCGGTTGTAGCTAAGCTAAAGGTAATTTCAATGAAAGGCCAGTTAAAAAGGCAAGTTAAATGATGTAGTAGATTGTGGCAAAACTTCACATGAAAACACTACATTGTGTATCAGGGATCGGATCTTCCTGTGGCACTGAGGGTCAGTGGGCACCAGTACATAGCACTCCCTAGCAGATGGCGTGGTGCTAGACCTCCCTGGCTTCAACAGGGAATGAAAACCCAACGGGTAGCTCACCAGTGGGAAGTAAATTCTTGCTTCTCAGCAGCTTGGCTTCATTGGCACAGATGTATGCCTTAACGTTGTGTTTATAACAGCTTCAGTTGTTGCCTTCTGCCTGGGAAGTGCTTAACACACTCTGGAAACCATGGATGCCTAATGCTGCAGTGGAACCTGGTGAAGCTGCCCTGGCAACTAGTTCTGGCTCAGAGGAGTCTCTCAAGTCAGAGCAGCCCTTCGTGCAGCCCAGGGTCCGTTGTGATTTGGGGCTCCTCTGGGTTAGCATGTGTATTGAAAGAAGGCTTGAACTCCAGTTGCTTGGAGTGCTAAATAACAGCTTAATTTACCCAGAAACAAGGGAATTTTCTCTTCTTTCATTGCCAGGTAGCAGCAATTTCCCGTTTAGCGCTGCGAGTTGCCCATTATGTGGTTCAGGCATGTTCCCATGCTCTTGACAGATGTGTTTTGGAACAGAATGTGTGAGGTTTGAAATAAAGCTACCACGAGCTGTAGGTGCCTGCAGTTCCACAGCCAAGGCTTTAATTTATTTTTGCTTTTTCTTCATTTTGTTTTGCAGGTATTCCTTTGGTAAGTGAATAAAAGAGACCAAATCTGCACTAGTAATGTATTGAGGCATTTGTGGGTATGTAGCCTTTACATCAACTTGCTTTTTCTGTCTTTCTCTGTCAAATGTTTGGTTGCTTTCTTCCTTTCACTGGATTTCTTTCCATATGCCCTTAAGGAAAGGAAAACTGATGTGAATGCTGTAAATTGAGATTGAAGGAGACTTGGTGGAAGGGTTCTGTAAGTACAACAGCATTGTTTGGAGGGTAGCGTTAAAGATGAGTAGTTAAATAAGGCAACCAAGCAAAGCAGGGTCTGAAGGACATCCGTTGGGAAGGAACCTGTTCCAAATTTCAGTTCCCTTGCCACTGGTGATTTGTATGAACATCAAGAAGCTTTTACTCATATCATCTGCTTTTCCACTAGCGTGCGGTGCAGATATTACTCCCTTGGAGGTCTGGAAGGTTGATTCCTGCTTCGCACAGGTTGGGGTTTTTCAGCATGAAGTATTCCAACCCGTAGCTAGAATCTAACTGGAACGTTCGAAATCCTGGTAGAAGATGTTCCTCTCTGTGGAAATACTGGGAGAACTGCTGGTGATGGTCTGATTTTCTGGGAAGAAATTTGGTTATTCTGATGTCAGGCACAAGAATAAAAGTCCATTTGTGCCTGTGTATTTGGAGGCTTGCAAAAGTAGTGGCTGAGCATCCTCCCCCTTCTCCCATGGTCTAGTGGAAGGTGTCCCTGCCCAGGGCAGAGGGGTTTGAACTGGATGAGCTTTAAGGTCCTGTCCAACTCAAACCATTTAATGATTCTCCTTCATGGAATTGCATCTGTCTCCTTGTTTACCAGTCGTTGTAATCAGTTTAAGTGATTGAGCTGGTTTATTGTACATGGGATCATTGTACATGGGATTATTGTACATGGTGCTTCGCCAAGTGCAGAAGCAGAGGAGTATGGAGGCTTGTTTCCACTCATCTGTGGTTAGGTGATACTTTCACACTGGATGTGGGTGTTTTAATGAGTTGGACTTTACAGCATGAGTCCAGACTTTTGTTGGGCTAGTGAGGATGCCTGTCTTAGTTTTAACTCAAGCTGCTCCTCTTCTGTACGTGTGTTAGTCTCTCGCTGATGGTTGTAGAAAAGCTGCTTTTTTGCAAGTGGTGTTTTATCTTTCTTTGGCTTTTCTTTATGTCCTGACTGGATAGTCACCCTATGAGGATTACTGAAGTCCTTTGTACGCAGTAGGGTCTCTCCCTCCCTTGTTTTTGGCTTAAGGGCTACTTCTGAATAAGATGAATGAGATGTAAATCTCGAGTTACTTTTGTTAGAATACAGGAAAACCACAATATTTTTGTTATAATATAGCTGAAACAACAACATTGTCATCCATTGCTGTAGAAGTCCATTAAATATTGCTGAGCACTGGAAGCCTTATTCTTTGGTAGCGTCTACTTCAAAGCAAGAGCTTTAAAGAAAGAATTATTCCTGGAGAGATCTTTGTAAATGCTGACTGTTTCCTATTCCCCTCCAGGAAGTGTGCTCTTTTTGATGCATCTTAACATGGATTTTGGTAGCCTCTATTAAAACTGCAGGCTGTCCCTATGAATTTTAAAGAACTCCAGAGTCTGGAAATAACAACAAGCTGTTAGGGTAAATGGGATCAGCCGGAATTGCCACAGGTTTTGCTCTGTGCTCTTACTCCTGTCAGGTATCAGTTATTAAAACCACTCCTCACTTCAGGGAATGAGCTGTGAAGCAGCCGTGCAAGAGCTTTCACAGTGCAAAGCACAGGCCAAGGTGGGCTGTTATCTCTGAAGGGTGAAGAGGTGCTCGGCTGTACAGATGGGGTTAGAGCTGTGCTGAAATTAGCTGAGCTCTGATAAATTCTGGGCTTTATTTATTGTTATTTGGTGGAAATTTGGCTTTAGATGTGGTGTGGTTCGTTCCAGCAAGTGTGTGATGGGTTTATATGAGTCTCTCCATGTGAATAGACACGGCTCAGGCAAGTGGCATTCCCTGATGGCAGATCTGATGGCTCCTTCTCCTCCCTGCTTTTGGCAGGGCAGTGCTCCTGTTATTGAGTGTGGTCTGTGCTCTGGAGGGACTGCTTATTGGCCAGAGTGATTTGCTTTTTCCTAGCTGAGCTGTGGCTGTGGGGGATGGATGGATGGACGGATGTTCTGCCTCTCCACTGGAGCACACCTTCAGGGCCAGCAGCCAGGCTGCTCCCAGAGAGGTGAACTTTTGTGACAACTTCATCCCAAGTCTAAATCTCCCCCCTGGCCCTCTTTGTTGGATCCTCTGTCTAGGTGCCTTGGTGACCTGTGTGTGCCACCCTGAGCCAGGTGGCCTTGGTCCTGGATCATCTCTGGCAATGGCAGGTCTCCCTCTCTCTGAAGGTTGCAGCTGTGGTGCTGGGTCTAGAAGGAACTTGGCAAGGTTAACTTGGTGTTTTGTCTTTCTTTCAAATGAAGGATGTTTTCCTCCAGGCTCAGAATGAGACCAGAGCTGTTGCAGCAGATTTGTGGTGTTGACAGCCTGGCTTGTTTCTGACCCTTTCTGAGCAAGGATGCGCTCTCCTAGAGCAGAAGTTGCTGGTGATGCTTCTGTCTGAGATACCCTAGTGGAAGCCTGATTTAATGGTGATTTATTATCTCTGTTCTAGCAGAGGCTTTGAGAAGATGATGCTCTTTTATAGGCTTGCTTTTCTTCTTTCTTCTGTTCTTCCTTGTTATTGTGTTAAGTAGCCCCAGATACTCAGAAGACGGTTTGCTGGCCCTGAGTCTGTCCTGAGAAACTGGTCAAATGAGATAGCAGCAGGGAGCTAAGCAGAGCTGCAGAGAAGCTGCAATGAGCATGTGAGTTGTAACGGACAGTCCCATCCCTCCGGAGAGGAAAATTCCAGGTGTGAGGTGGGAAAATGACGTAACCTCCCTGGGAGATCCCGACTCCACGTCGTCACCTCCGTGGCCGTCGGATGCCTCTCGGAGCAGCAATTTGGGTTCCCAGCAGAAAAGACAGAAATGCATCTGTTTACTTTTTGGCTATCTATGGGTTCATTAACCAGGCTTGAGGATGGGAGAAGCAGCTGATCTGATTTGACTCTTGATGCACAAATGTGTCCTGTTTGGAGCCAAAGCAAGTGTTTCCTTGGGGATGGTTCCAGCATGCCTTGCTCCTGCACGCGTTGCAGGCCAACTCCATGGCTAGAATTGAAGCCTATTTTAAAAGGAAAAGCTTTTTTTTCCTCCCCCTTATAGTCAGTTTTCTTCTTGATTTTGGTATGGAGAGAAGGCAATCACTGAGGGTTGAATTTAACTTGTTTCTTTCCTGTTATCTGTAAACAGGGGATAAGCAAATAATTTAGTTCCTATCCTGCCTGCCCCCAGATTTTATATTGCATCTATTATCTTAGAATTTAAGCTGAAGTGTGTTTTGATTAGAAGTAGAATAAAAAGTTGAGAGCCGAGTGTGTGTAATTCTCCGTCACTTGTTAAACCCTCACTCTTTACTTCAATGCAAATTGTTCCAAGGAGGCTTTTCTTTTAAAAGGTCTTCAGGGATCTTGAATTTTAGATGTGCATTGACATCAAATGCAGTGTTAGAGTGCACAGCTGGGGTTCTTGCGTTTGCTGTGCGAGATTGAGATGTCTCTGCTCTGTGAGTGAAGGTTTCCAAGGAAGGGGGGAAGTTTGCACAAGTCACACTATGCTGGTGAGCAGCGTGGCTGTCACAGGAGGAAACAAGGGTAAGTTGAAATGACTGAGGTCAGACTTCGCTGTGAACTGAGGTGCCTAGGCTCACACATTGATTCCTATAGACCATCCGCACTGGTGGTGGAGCTCAGGTCGCCCAAGTACAAGAGGATTCAGTGGCAGAGCTTTGCTTTACACACGGCAGCACCCAAGTGTCACACAAGCACCCGGTGGCCCTTGTCACTACAGGAGCTTGCTGTGCAGGTGACATGTGGGGAGATCCTGGCAGCAGGACACAGAGCATGGGCTGGTCTTATTGCTGGAGCACTTGGTTCTGCTCACGGCAGGAGATGATGGAGCCGTAGCACGAGTGACCCAGCGAGCCCTTGGGAATCCCTGCAGGGTTGAACACCCAGATGGCCAAAGGCTGCTCTTTCTTCATCCTCCTCCCATGCTGAGATGGGAGGGACGGGGCTGCTGCTGCCCGACTGTTCCTGTTCCTGGCTGATACCGTGATCTGCTGCTCCTATTTCTCGGGTAAGAGTGGGAAACTTTTCTCTCTGTCTTATTAAATCTATTTTTCAAGCTGTCACTTAACCAGGTCTAGTGACAGAGTCGGATGTTTATGTGGCCCTGGACACTTGAACTCTGGTGTTTTCAATCACAACAGCACCTTTTGCCAGCCGTTCTGAATTAAATACTCCTCGTGACCTTTTACCCTCGCCGCTCTTAAATTCATGCTTTAAAAACAGCTTAATGAGGGGTTTACTGGCCCAATTGGAAGTTTTTATTAAAACCTATTAGTGTGCTGGAGTAGCCTGCCTGAAGGAAACGATTAGCCCAAAGCAACTAAACTCCGAGCTGGCCCTTAGCCACACCAGGTTTTCTCTAAACTGTTTCCAGACCCACGTTAACCCTAACACTGCAGCCTGCATGGTATTCATATCCTCTGCTTTAATTTATAGCTTGTCTCATTCTCTCCCCAGCCTTTCTCCATGTTCACGAAAGCATTTTGTTTTAATGTAATTAGACCTGCGTTAAAGGGCAACATGCCTTCAGTCAGGCCTGACTGGTTTGGGAACCTCAATTAAGTGGAAGTGTTCCCCCAAAGTCCTCTGTTGGTGCTGCCTGGGGAAGGAGCTGCCCTCTGGACAAGGTATGGAGCCCCATTGGACAAAGCCACGATGCTCCTGGGGTCCTGGTTAAGCTTCCTATGAGGAGCATCCCAGCATGGACTCAGTGAGGCAGCTGCACTGGTGAAGCACACTGGGGTTTGAAATGAAGCTGTGTTTTCTGTGTTGACAGCCTGAGTTGGGGTTGTTCAGCCTGGGGAAGGGAAGGCTCTGGGGAGACTTCAGAGCAGCTCCCAGTGCTTAAAGGGGCCAACAGGAAATCCGGAGAGGGGCTTTTGGCATGCAGGAATAGGCCAAGAGGGAATGGATTCAAGCTGACACAGGAGATTTAGAGTTAGATCAGCCATTAGGAGGAAATTCTTCCCTGTGAGGGTGCTGAGGCGCTGGCACAGGGTGCCCAGAGAAGCTGTGGCTGCCCCATCCCTGGCAGTGCTCAAGGCCAGGTTGGACACAGGGGCTTGGAGCAAGCTGCTCTAGTGGAAGGTGTCCCTGCCCGTGGCAGGGGATTGGAGCTGGAGGAGCTTTGAGGTCCCTTTGAACCCAAACCAATTTGGGATTCTGTGATCTGGAGCACACAAATGTTGGAATAATGTGCAGGAGCTGGATGGAAATCCCAGCTGGTTCCTGCCACTAACCTCCAGCTGGATCTTGCTTTGTTTGCCCTCAGTCTGTGTTTTATATTCAGAACTGGGCCAGTGGTTTTTACCCATCTTAAAATAACCTTGACAGCGCTCCTGAAGCCCTGTAGCCATTATCTTTGTGATCTTGTGCTTTTGTCTCCGTGCAGCCAAGAAAAGCAGGCCAGAGCTCCGACTTGGGAAGAAAATCGCTGTCGTAAGTCCCATGCCCCAAAAAGTGCTGAGTAACTATCAACTTTGTATGTATTCCCTCCCTATCCAAGTGCCTGGCTGCTTGTCCAGGCTTTCTGTGATAGCACAAGGTTTTTGGAGAAGAGACTTCCAGTTCTTTAATATATATATATATATATGTATGTGTGTGTATATATATATATATATGTGTATATGTGTGTGTATATATATGTATATATATATTTGGTGTATATATATATGTGTATATATATATTTGGTACAGCAGCTTGTCTTTATATGTCTGCTCCTCCTGAACTGAAGGAATATAACAGTACAAAACATAAAAGCTGTATTGAAGGTTTTGCTGGGGGTGTTCTTTGTTGTCTGGCTGTGGAAACCACTGTCCATGTGTTAATGGCTCGTCCCTAAATTAACGATGCATCACACACGGAATCACTGCTGTGTGTGTTGAATGCACTTGTCACGCTTTATGGCTTTTGTTGTAACCTGTAATCAGTGAAGGCAATCTGAAGAGCGAGACATGGACTGTCACTTGGAAGAGTGAGAAGGATGCCAGATTCCCCCATAATAAGATTGCAGAGAGTGAATATCAGAACTAATAGAAATAAAACAGGGAGCTGCCAATGTACCAACTAGTTGCTGTTGAAGTGACGAAGCTTTGTGTTCTGAAGCACATTTTGAGCATCATAAAGCACAAGCCAAAGAGCAGTTGGTCCCTCTCCACACCATGCGTTCCCCGAGTGTCACCTCCTGTCTGTGTTTTCCCGAGCATATGGATGCACCAACCTTGGGAGGTACCTTTTAGAAAGAATGTTTAAGGAAAAATCTGCCATTAAAGTTATTACTGTAAAGTAGCGCCTTTGATTGCGGCAATTATGCAAATAGGTTTAAGGGATAAAATACTTCTTAACAAGGATGGCTGTAAATGGTGGTGCTGGAGCAAGCGCATCGCTTCTTCAAGCAGCATCTTGCCGTGCAAGTGACTTTGTTTGAGCTGTTTACCACGTTGCCTGGATGTTGACCTGTGTAACTGATGAGCAGCCTGCGGATGTGATTCTATTTTCACTTAATACAGGAATGCAAGTGGGTGGAATGGGAACGCTGGTCTTGCAGAAACTGGGAAACCCTTTCCCTAAGCAAATTGTTTCTCCACAGCTCTTGTGACTGACTTTTGTCCTAACCTTCATAGAAAGGAAACAAACAAATGCGTTTTGCAGGCAGAGATTTGCCTCAGGAAAAGGCCAGTTGGATTTGGTGACTTGCAGGAGCTGCTTGGTTAAGGCTCTCGCCTTGATGTGTTGGCATTAAGTTAAATGAAATTTCCTCCAGGATTAGTTTTAAAGCAGAGAAGTTGGATCCTTGTCTCCCATAATTTGCAAAAAGTGTTGACCACAATAAGAAGGCGAGAGTCTGCTGTGAGAGGTCTAGCTCAAATTCCAGAGGGATTTCCTGTTTCATAGGAGGCCACGGAGATGCTGCGAGGGCTGGAGCAGCTCTGCGCTGGAGCCAGGCTGAGAGAGCTGGGCTGGGGCAGCCTGGAGAAGAGAAGGCTCCTGAAGGGGAGACCTTAGAGCAGCTCCAGTGCCTCCAAGGAACTACACTGTGGGTCAGTGATGATTCTGTGGATAATGACGCTCTGGTTATCCCTGCAGCATTTGTCTGTTGTCAGAAATGCCCAGAGCCGGGACAGCTCAGGCACATCTGGATCTGGAGGACCCAGACCTGGAAATGAAGTGCAGGAAGCTGAATACACCTCAAAAACTGGGGACAGTGAGGTTTATTTTTTTTTCCTGATTTTTAGTAGGAAAGACAAGCTGGGGAGGATCCAGTGAAAACAACGGATGAGCTCCATGGCAGTGTTGGCTTCAACAGGCTGACACTTCTCAGCAAGGCGCTGTTTAAACTCGCTGTGCTATCGCCAGGCTTTTGATGGGAGGAGGATGAGAGATGGGCAGCGTTGTCTTCAAGGCACGCTTCCATCCAAAGTTCAGGTCTGGCATGGGAGAGCAAGTCTTATTTTTATTTTCCTCTTTTTCTGAAGTTAAATAAACCTTGATGTGCAGAATAACGCCTGCATAACAATAATAAACTGAAGGACATCCAAGGAACTGCTGGCTTTTTTATTTTCCATTAACCACACTGTCATTTCTAACGTGTATCTGATTTATCTATGGCTGGTTAACCGTTCCAGTGCCCTTTTTCTGACCTGATATATATCACATCAAAGTTTTATGGCAGTAATTTATAGAGGATGATTACAGCTCTGAATGGACAGGTTTGGAGCGGTGTTCTTCTTGAGGATGGTGAGCCTTGTTGGGTGTTCCTGTAATAGAGTTAGGAATTCAAGAGTTGAGGTCTCAGGACTTGGCATGTGTGCAGCAAAAGGAAGTTGTGTGTGGAGCTCTGAGGAAGGTTATTGGAGTATAAGCCCGTTTTAAGGACTCCAACTCATATCAGGGTATTGTTCGTCCTTCCTTTATTCTGGATTTGATCTGGAGTGTGAAAGTTTGAATAGAAGTCCAGGACTTTGGATGCTTTCCATGAGGAATGTTTGATGAGCAGAAATGCACTGCAGCTCGGGTCAGGTTAAAGGATTGAGATCTTTTCTAATCATAGGATGTAAGAAGCTCTTTGTCTGGAGGATCAGCAGCAGATCTGCCTGTACCCTCAGTGTCTGTGCAGAATCCCAACTGCTCAAAGGCAGATGTGGAGGGAGCACTAACCATTGGAAACGGCATTTTGGAAGGAGGAGGAACCAGTGTAGTATTCCTGCTCATTCGTAGCTGGTGCTATTTTTGGCCATGCATTAAA